GACCGGGGATCGAACCCCGAACCTTCTGCGGACGCTCTACCACTAGACCATGTAGGCGGTAGCTGACCACTGAGACATGGCACCTATCTGAAATACCTGAAATAAACTTGCGTGATCAGTGGAGAGAGGAACACATGTTATAATATCTAGAAACGCTATACATATTTTATGATAGTTGATTGTTACAAAGACAAAAAATTATTAAGAAGTTCAAAAGAGATTAAAAACATTTTAAATCAGTGGGTGATGCAATTGAAACATCAAAATGTTTGGAATACGTATCATAATAAAATAAATGGACAGATTTTTCAGTCAATTTGTAAAATAACTGAAAAAGTTAGGCGTTTTCAAAAATTGACTAAGTGAAAATTTCAATAATTTTACACATTGACTGCAACATATATTCACATGATAAAATAAGCAATGCTCAGGTGAAATCATTAGTTTGTGTTACAAGTCAGCCCCTTGGTGGGTGATCAGCCCTTTCATTTGTACAATTTTGAATTCTCACCACCGGAAAATGCTTCCAACAATATATGGTTGATATCTATCTCTTAGTTCCAGGGGGACACGGTTGGCCCAGTCGTCTAAGGCGCCGTGATTCGCTGTGCAGAGTTGCGTCCTCTGGGCACGGCAGAAACCTATGATTGTGGGTTTGAATCCTGGTTCGCCCCGATTATGTTTCTAGGTTTGTCAGCACCATACCCGTGTTCGTGGAATTCACTGAAAAGTGGTAAACGTCTGAGACCTGCATCACTTTGGGCTCTCCTCCCACATTAAGCTGACATGCTGTGATATAACTGGTATACTGTTAAAAGCAGAGTTAAAACCAACTCACTTAATTACTCATTCTTAGTCCCAGAGAAGAAGTCGTTTAAAGCAATATGGCCAAATTACCCCTATTTGGCCCCGCCCATCGGTCCCCTGGGGGGTCAGCGCTACCATTTGTACAATTTTTAATCCCCACCACCTAGGGACGCTTCCAGTCAAATTTCGTTCATTTCCAATTACAGTCCGTTTGATTCCATTTGAGACCGATGAATTGCTCACTAACTCAAAATCTAATAATTGCAACAAAACCAAAATGTGCACAGCGACATAAATTGGACAGACCAACTCTGATGGTTTGTCTCATAATTTTGGACTCCCGAATAAAAAAATTGTTTAACAAACGATCATCATATTGTTGACATTTTTCGCCATCCCATACCAGGGAGGACCAGTCGCTCATGGAACAGCCAGGTAATGAACAAGCATGTGCACCGTATATGGGGGTCATCTCAAAAGCCGTTTTGGGTGTTCAATCGGAGTCACTGTTGCAGGTTTCTGAAGCCGTGACAGTGCATTCGGAATCGGTGTCGCTGTTGTCCGAATCGCTATCGCCGCTGTCCGAGTCTACCCTGATGATCACTGGCTTAATTGTGGCATGGTCCAATCCACTGTGATCCCAATAATGTCTCTCTATTTCATTCTCAACTTTCTCAAGACACTTTTGCCACGTTTCCTGCGTGATGGTGTCTAATGATTGTTGAACCAGTTTCTGTACATCCCGCAGTTTGAATGTTGTATTTTGCCTGGCAACATCCGATTTAATGATACCCCAAATTAGTTCTATTGGGTTTAAATCGCAATGATAGGGCGGCAATCGCAAAACTGAATGGCCATGTTCTTTAAGATACTCGTCAACTTTAAAGACAGGTGTGGTTTTATTAGACTTTATAATATCATACAGAACAGGTTTCGTTGCTTTTTGTGGATACGGTATTGCTTTGTGTGTCAACCATTCTATCATATCGCCCTTCCTACTGTTAGACGTTGGGCCTTTTGTGTTAGGTACCTGAACGCCATGATATGGAGCATTGTCCATGACAACCAGACTCTTGGGGGGCAATACCGGTACCAGTTGAGTTTTAACCCATTCTAGGAATACCGCTCCGTTCATTTCGGTATGATAGTCTCGGTTGTCCTTGGATTTTTTCTTGAAGACTAGCGAACAGCCTGGTAGGAATCCCCGACTCTTGCAACCAGCATGGAGCACAATAAGCCGCTCACCCTTGACAAGTGGCAATTTCCTGGCACAGAAATCAGAAGAGGAGCTAGGGAACCATTGTGTTCATGTGTTATGGGAAGCGTTTACCCACGTTTCTTCCAAGTATACGGGCTCATAACCCTCGTAACGTTTTTCTCGTATTGTGCGTAAGAAATGGTTCCTTAGTCGAACAATATCAGACCTCTCGCATAATGCATGTCTAATTTAGGAGCCTACTTTTTTGTAACGGAAACCAAATTGGTGTAGCAGTTTCCATAACTGATATTTTGAACCATCTCTTGTTGAAATGAATCGACTTTAAAACATCGCTTGGGTTTTGAGATGGTCCCCTCAGGTGTGTCACTGCAGGTTGAATCAGTACACTTTTTTAACATAGTTTTTAACTTCCCTTCTGTTATCCCAAATGCACGTGTAGTTCGTAAACGATACTTTTTCAAAGCATATTGTGGTCTACCTCTTTCACATTCTTTTAAAATTTTTTTGAAGACGTTGCAAATAATTGACTTCGCGTCGAGTGATGTTTTCATTGTTTCAGGTATAGCAATCACACATCTATGGTTTGCTCAGGAAGCCTTACGTCACTTTCGCACATGAAACTCGCCCACCTGTCTGTTCCATGAGCGACTGGTCCTCCCTGGTATGGGATGGCGAAAAATGTCAACAATATGATGATCGTTTGTTAAACAATTTTTTTATTCGGTTGTCCAAAATTATGAGACAAACCATCAGAGTTGGTCTGTCCAATTCATGTCGCTGTGCACATTTTGGTTTTGTTGCAATTATTAGATTAGAGTTAGTGAGCAATTCATCGGTCTCAGATGGAATCAAACGGACTGTAGTGGTTCAGAAGATGTAGTTGTTGATGTACAGTATGGCAGAAGCTCACCTTTGTCCTTCAAACCGGTGTGTGTGTGTGTGTGTGTGTGTGTGTGTGTGTGTGTGTGTGTGTGTGAGAGAGAGAGAGAGAGAGAGAATTTCAAAACAGAACAGTATTTCGTTTTTGTTGATCAAGTGAGGATACGCCCTTACACTATATCAGTAAAAGCGACAATTCCCTTACGGTTGGCACAGCGCAGGCTGCAATCTAGTCAAGATTTCTGGGATATCATCTGGGTATCTATGGGGGAACAAACAAAAGCAACACCCTGTCCTGGAGAATTGTCAGAGATCAGAGCCCCTTAAATGGACATGAAGACAATGGACATTTCTTGACAAGGGGTCTTTCGTCCAGTATTCGATCTAACTATATTGGTTACAACTTTAAGGTGAGGACGGTCCAGACCGTTCAATACGGGATATGACCTCCATGAGCGGCAATGAATCTTCGAATGCGGCGTCGAACTGAGTAGACAAGCGTCCTCACATCGACTGCAGGTATCCGATTCCATTCCTCACGGAGGGCAACGATCAACACTTGTCTCGTGAAGGGAGGATGTTGACGTTTCCGAAGACGACGCCCCAGCTGGTCCCAGAGATGTTCTATGGGTGACAGATCTGGTGATCGAGCTGGCCAAGGCGGGACAGTCACGTTGTTTGCGTTGAGGAAGTCTCTAGTAATACAGGCTTTATGGGGTGTGGTGTTATCTTGTTGGAAAACCGTCCTTTGTTGACGCTGGATGAAAGGAGGAACCACTGGCCGTAAGATATTGTCAATGTAGCGTTGTGCTGTCAGATTGCCTTCGATGTTGACAAGTTCCATCTTCTCGTCCACCCATCAGGTTTGAAGAGTTGGAACCTGCTCTCATCACTAAACAGCACTCGCCGCCATTCCCTTTGTTGCCATTGCTGAGTTTGCCTGCACCAGGTCAATCTGGCACGTCGATATTGACGGGTCAAGGTCATGCCCTTGAAAGGGCGATAAGCCCCGAGACCATAATGTCGTAGTCGTCTGGTCACTGTTTGTCTGCTGACCGGATGTCCTATGCTGTTGGCAGCTGATGACGTCACAGTAAGAAATCTGTTCCTCAGATGAAGTACCCGTAAAAAGCGGTCATCCTGCGGGGTCGTGACCTTTGGTCTGCCACTCCGTGGTCCGTCTGCAGTTCTGCCAGTCTGTCGGAGACGTGCGACCAGTCTGGTAATGGTCATCTTGGAGCAGTTCATGTTAATGGCAACCGCACTCTGTGTCGCTCCCATCTACAGCATACCTATGGCTCTCTACCTCTGGACATCGGTCAGTCTTGGCATGTTCGTTGGTGTTAATCATCGCAACCAATGATAGGGAACAGATCCGTGCGTAATTTATACCCGGAAATTGCACGATAATTTGGGAAAGAATGTTTTAAAAAATTGCTGACAAACACCAATATCTCCCAAAATCCGTAAAGCATGTGCAAAGAACGACAGAGAACATGAAGGCTGTATTCGTAAGATGTGTTCTTTACTGTTTTTGAACAGGTTGGCATCTTTGTTTCAAAGTGGCAAATCAGTTAATGTTGGTAACGTTTCTTTTGGCCCTCAGTTTATTTATAAATGGTGATTAAGCTGGGCTTTAACTGTATTTAATCAGTATTCCAGTTATATCTTGGAGTGGCAGCTTGATGTGGAAAGCCTGAATTTATGCAGGTCTTAGACGTTTACCCACTTGGGTGAAATTGAGATCAAGCATTGGAAATAATCCGTTAAATCATGAAAGATTTACATCTTTTTCATAATTTGGAGAAATTTAATTTGACAAAATAATGTGTGTATATGAATTTAAAACAATCATAAGGTGTATGATTATTATGTTTGAACTTTGCTGAATGACTTTCGTCACTATATGGCAGAGATATTGCAATGACACTTTCAATCTCTTTGTATTGATTGCAATATACAACTGTATTATTGTTAAACAGGTTTCTTTTAGCTGCCTCTATATACAAAATACAATGGCTATTCAAACTTGCATTACCAGCAAAAGATATGAGAATGAATGTTACAATGTAAAAACAAACAATAAATAACAGTCTGTGTGTTACAGTAAAAATATTTTCACTTTTTATTTCCAAGAGTTTTAACAAGTTTCTTCTATATAAGCATTTAATGACACCACATCCATTGTCAAACATGGCATAAGCACTGTCAGTGAAACAGTCCACACTATCGGATATGTGTTTGTTTCTAGTCACATAATCCACTGTATGCCAGTGTGTAATCATGTTTATACAACCAACACTCACTGGTAGGCATCTTTGTTTGAGCAAACACATTCACATTATTTACTAGCCAGACACAGTAACAGAACATTCTGTCTGTGATGTGGTCAGGTAGACTGCATGTGTCGTGTTGCCTGACTTTGTGCCTGCAACACACTGCAGGATTGCTGTGTACATTCAGTTATCAGTATGTTCATCTTCTCAGTACCTCTATATGTACAAATAGAATAAATAATTGTCCAATTTAGCTACACATCTGCTCATCTGTGAAGCTGAGCTCAGTCGAGGCGAGGAGAAACATCCATGTTATCTGAATACAGCTGGGCCAGCTCCATCATGTGCATATGTTTGTTGCCAGTAGCTGCTGCTGCAGAAGCACACCGTCCTGCATATCTGCAAACAACACAAACAATCAAGAGTCTAGCTTCAAGAAATGAAGTGCAGTCAAACACTGTTTTATCTGAGGTTCAACACAACCAAAAGTGATGAATAAAGAAGGAACATGCAGGGACCAAGCTTTTACTTTGAGACAACTGTAAGTTCAACACATCAAATTATGACACAATGGTGTTTGACTGTACTTCCTCATTTGTGCTCAACTATGTTTAGGACAAATTTATATGTCTTCCAAATCTTACTTCTCCTTACATATGTCTCTATTCAGTTGGGTTACATGTTGAAATTCGATCAATATTAAATTGAAGTTATCATTACAACAAGAAAAAGGTTTTATCACTATCCCCCGCTGTGAGTGAGTGAGTGAGTGAGTGAGTTGGGTTGGGTTCAACGTCCCTTTGTACAATATTCCAGCTGTATCACAGCTTGTCAGCTTCAAGTGTGAGGAAAGCTCAAAGTTTTGCAGGTCTTAGTGAGTGAGTTGGGTTTAACACCGCTTTTGAACAGTATGGTTATATTACAGTGTGTCAGCTTGATGTGGGAGAAAAGCCCAAAGTGATGCAGGTTTTAAGGCATTTACCACTTTGGTGAAACCCATGATCAGTGGCTTCCGGCAGGCTCAAGGGATGCAAGTCTGCACAGCAAATTAGGGCACCTTATATGACCAGGCCACCCACACCCCCTTGCCCGCCATGGGGCACACAGGAATTTTGTTGTTTATATAGTATTGAATAACATGGATGTTAACATTAACCATAAAAACAAAGTCCTATATATCCTTAAGAAGAGATAGGCACTAGTGTGGCTTTATGTCATGACAAAATCTGATTAAAATTGACACACAAAAGTCAAATTCTCTGGAATAAACAAATTATGGCTCCCATTTTTGGTCTTGGTAAGTGTAGAAGTTTCATTCATGTCACTTCAGTAGTTTCTGAGAAAACTTGTCTTCATTGCAGACACTATGCAGGAGTCAAGGGCCGAGCCTTGTATGCACAAAATCTAAATGCATGTAGCAAGAGATGTAAAAATAATTTACAGCACCAATTTTCAAACTTTGGATAAGTATCTCTTGGATAAGCATGCAAACTTTCATTCAAGCAACTTCATTAGTTGCATGGAGCAAGGGCCTTAACTCTGCATAAAATGAATTTAAGGCACCGTTTCGAACTCATTGGAGATGGTGACCAGTAACTTCAGCGTGCAAAATTTAATTTCTTTAACTCAACAGCTTTTGAGAAAATTTGTCCCCATTGAGATGCGGACGGAAGGAAGGACGGGCGGACGGACGGACGGGCGGACAAACTCAAAACTCAAAAGCCCACTTCATGGTGGAGGAAAATAAGAAGGAATTAGTAGTGACAACTCAGTGAATCATTTTGAAAATTCAAGTTTCAGTATCCTGACAGATGATCTATGGTTTATTTTGCAGCACTTGGACATATACTCATTTGATACAGGGGTTCCTAATTTGATTAATGCCTCGGGGCATGCCCAGAGCTTGAGACACGTCACTTCATTCCAATAAAATGCATCAACTAGATGTAGATAAATTGGGGAGGTGGGAGGGAATACCTCCTCATGCAACAGAGGCATTATTCTAAGAATTATACCCAATGACAAGTACTGTTTGATAAATCCTTCGAATACCATAAATATTACATCAAAGCCAGAATACTATAATGGTGAAATATTTACACTAAGTTTTCATGAAATAATAAGATCCACAACAAGTGCTTTTATAAGTTATCATGATGTAACATTTATACAAATTTTTATATAATTATAGAACAGCAAGTAATATATATTAGGATCCAGGAAAAATGCAAATAAAAAATATTAGTAGTTTCAGTTAGAGCTTTTAGATAAATAGTAGTCTAGGGTAACAAGAACCCATCACCCAGACACACTATTCAATAAGACAAAAGTTCTGTCTACATAGTTTAATAGATTGCCTTGAACTATTTTATTTAAGTAAATCTGTCATCACCTATATTAGAATATCATTGAGCAAATACTTCAATTTAGACTCAATAAGGTTTAGCCCCATACAAGGTTGTCTATTGTGATATCATACTGTATTTCCAGTAAATATGACAACAGGATTAGTGCCAGTCTAACAGGATTTAGTATTCCCCTCTCTCTTGCCATTCAATTACAGAGAGAAGCAAGATGTTAGGCAGTAGGGGTTTATTGCTCAAACCAAGGAAACCTCTCGCCCACGGCACCCTCAGCTATATTTAAGATACTGTTCAAGCTGTTCTTGTAAATAAAATTGTAATTAGTCTCTTGTGACCCCTGCTCTTTGCTTACTAATTCCCCACAAAAACCAGCACACCATTTGGAAGGTTTTGAGGATCAGAACAGAATCATAATAATACACAAGAAGGTTGGGTGGGATCTAGCATATAGTAATCCAAGATAGCTGACTGTTAATGACACATATACACACAGAAACGTTTAAGAAAATGCACAATAACTTGATAGTTACACTGTAAACAACGTTATACAGTGATCCCTCGCTACAACGCTACCTTCGGGGTACAAATAATTGATGAACGTTATAGATGATCAGCGGTTTAACGAAGGTCGAGTCGTAGGTGGTAGATGACCAACAAAACAGTATACATGTTTCAGAAGTTATTTATGATTCATAGAGTAAAAAAAGAATTGATCGAGTATTAATATGTGCTTTAAAAAAAACCCAACAAATCGTATCCCTTCAGGTGAGTAAGCAGGTAGATCTATAACAAACTTGGTCAATAAAAGTATGAAATTTGATATAAAACATCACTAGACATGATGATTTACGAGGGCTGGCTGAAAAGTTCTAAGTCTAACTGTGAAAGACCCGTACCAAGTCGATGGTTTTCATTTATTTCTCCACATAGTCCCCTTCCAGGTTTACACACTTTTGCTGCAAGGCCAGGATGCCGGTCAAGATGAAATTTTCTTCAGCCACCCTAAAAAAGTCATTCACAGCGGAAATGACATCATCATTACTAGGAAAATTGCTACCGGCTTGTTCCTTTTTCATTTTGGGAAACAGATGGAAGTCTGACAGGGCCAAATGGGGTGAATAAGGGGGATGGTCAATGAGTTCGAAGCCACAATCATGGAACGCTGACATGGCAACCACCGATTTGTGAACAGGAGCATTGTCTTGGTGGAACAGGACTCCTTTTGTGACGTTCCCCATCGCTTAGCTTTGATAGCTTCACGCAACTGTCTCAGTAGGTCAGCATAATATCTTCCATTGATAGTCTGGCCTTTTTCAAGATAGTCAATCAGCAGAATACCCTTGGAATCCCAAAAGACTGAAGCCATCACCTTTCCAGCAGAAGGAACCGACTTGGCTTTTTGAGGGGCTGGTGATTCCGGATGCTTCCATTGTTTAGACTGAATTTTGGTTTCTAGTTGAAAGTGATGAATCCAGGTCTCATCCATGGATATAAATCGGGCCAAAAAATCCTCTGGATCTGCTTCGAAACAGCATAAATTGTCACGGGACGTCAGGAATCTGACACGTTTCTGATCCACTGTCAAGAGCTTTGGCGCCCATCTTGCAGAAACTTTTGTCATTCCCAACTCGTTGGTGATAATGTGCTCAACCCTCTCATGAGAGATGCCCACAACACTGGCAATATGCTGATTGGTCAATCGTCGATCAGCCATCACCATGTCATGCACCTGGGTAATGTTTTCCGGAATGGTTGCTGTTGAAGGCCTTCCTGAACAAGCGGGTCATCATCAAGGCTCTCTCTGCCAAGCTTGAATTCCGCAACCCACTTCTTTACAGTGGAAAAGGAAGGGGCATCATCTCCTAAAGTGGAGACCATGTCAGCATGTATCTGTGTTGGAGTTAGGCCTTTCAGTTGCAGGTACTTGATTACTGCCCTATAGCCAGTTTTGTCCATTTCTGGTGATTTCAATGGGTAGGTTCACAAGATGGTCAATAATAACACTACAGTTGCAGTTCTTATGTCTATGATTCATGATGTACTTGTTGGTGGCAAAAGTTTGTTTCAATCCGATTGAGATATCCCACTTAGGCTTAGAACTTTTCAGGCAGCCCTTGTACCATTTAATATGTGTTTCCTGCTCTCAAAGGCATTGTTTTATATGCAGAGATTAAGATTACCTTGTGTATTTTCTCGTAAACTAAGCCGGAAATAGCAATCAGCTGTGCACACGTGTCCTCCAATCTACCAGTGATTCAGTTAAAATGTACCCAGTGATACCACTTTAAAGAAATCTGATGCAACGGTCGAAAGAAATTGTATCTGAAGTTATTATTTCATCAGGAATAATATATTCCAATATCGTGTTATTTTAGTTGAAGCTTCCACCATGTATACTTAAAATTATAAGAACCACAAGTGTAGCACTTTGGTACAGATTGTATGCAGGATATTTTTTCACGTATGGTACGATTTTGACCAGTCACCGTAGGGACTTCCCGCGCAAAATGTATTTCGATTGCAAAAACGTTATGTTGACATTTAATAGTCAAACTGCCTCAAATATGACTTTAAGCATGTCATGGTACAGCATTTATGATATGTGTATCCATTCTCTTGCAACTTAAGTTCGTTTCAAGGCGTCAATAGCGGTAATGTGACCGTGGTTGCTGTAAATAACGGTGAGTTGTACGATCTACCGATCACTTCGCATATGATTTCGCCGAAATTATTGTAAACATTATTTTAATTAAATGAAATTTTGAACATAATTGAAAAAATACATTGCAAACATTAGTCCAGATAAACAATGAACCTTTTTTTATGTTACCAGATATTATAATAATAGGATTAAATTGCGTACTTCAGTTCAGATTTGTTGACTGGAATTTCCGGTGTTATGGGATCATGGTGATCAACTGATAATGTTTTCTGAGATGGGGGAAAACATCGCGTCATTGGAAAACTTGAGGTTATTGAAAATGTTAGTTAATTTGGGGAGCCATGCTTTAACGCCCGCTATAACCAAGTTAGCGCTATATTGAAGGGTGCAATAACGAGGGAACACTGTATTGGCAATTCCATGACATTATTTCCAGTCTATGATGTCACTCTTCGTGGTGTTGATGTCATTTCCGTTTCTATGGGTGATCTCATTTGGTTCTAATGACATCACTTCTGTCTCTGACACCTTTTATGGTTACACTGATGTCACATCTGTTGCCGAGGACCTTTTTTGCTGTCTTCACTTTTGTTGAACCGTAGATCACCTGCAGATATTCTGGTGTGGCCCAGTTGTACACCTCTGGTCTGTCCAACCCTAGATGGCTACTGGGAAACCACAGCCTTGGCAGCCACTAAAGGCTTCAGGGAGTACAGACCCTCTAGATATGAGAATATCTCAAGCAGATATAAATACATGAACACATTTTTGGACATTTACTGACGGCTGGCGATGACTTGTTCAACAGAGACGACCTTCCATGACGCTAAGGATTTTGATAAATTTTGTTGTAGAGTCGTTTATTCATGGACTTCTAAGGTGCAGACATTTATGTTGATAGTCGGATCAACAAGTTCCACCTTGGGAATGTACATAGTGTTTTGATAGTGTTTCCTCCATTTGAATTGATTTCATGAGTCGCTTTTAGGAAGGGATGGGTGCCGACAGATTACTCCTCATGTTGAAGACGAATGTATCCTTCTATCGTCCCATATCGATGGAGCAAGAAACCCGCCACCATGTGTATAGTTGCCAGGTGTTTAGGTGAAGGTTGTGCAGGCTGCTGTAAAGTACGTCTGATCAGGGCTGACAAAGAAGATGGTACTGTAGTGCAGGGCTCCGGATAAAAGCCGTACAGGCGTATGTAAGGATGAAAATATGCACGATTCGGTGGGGGATAATTTAGAAAATGTATCAAATACTCATCACAGCATACATGTACGTAAGCAGCATATTTTCTTGTGCATAGTTCGCACTTTTTTCCAAAACAGCTGTGTAAAGGGGGTGCGCATAATACATGCCATAATGAGTTTTCATATTTTTTTCCCCAACGCAAAGTCAATACCACGAGCACATAACACCGGATATACCATGTCAATAAATCTGTACATATGTACGCAAATTAATCAAGTAATTATACTGTCTGGTTACCAAAAGTGTTCACTGCACATCCAGACTTATGTTGAGAATCCAGCTGTCATACATGACATGCTGCCAATAGTTGGCGTAATCTCGGAGACATCCCCACAAGATGCCCCTAGAGAGTCATAAACAGCGCCCTCTGCTGCCCCTGGGGGTTTCCCTACTTACTCCTTGATGACGTTGGAAGGTATGCCTGTCTTTATTGTCCAAGGGGAGAGGGTGTGATGAACTAGGAGGCACACAAAAAGAATCACGGCCTGGATGCCCACATAATTTTTACGCCAGAATAGAACAACAAAAATATAATTGATAACCTAAGATACTTTAGTACTGAATTGTAACACAAATATGTGTGCTCAAATAATTGAAAAACTTTTCAGTGTGTTATGCTGAGCACACAAAAGAAAGAAGTTGTGTCTCCCGCTCTGTGCCTGCACTGAGGCATTTGATACGATATGCAGTATTCCTAACAACTGATTAGGATGGCTGACAGTGAATAGAGGAAAGGTATTCGAAGGAACGTTGTAAAGTTTCAACTTCATTGGTGCTGTAGTTTCTGTTTATTGTTTAACCCTGCACTCAGCAATATTCCAGCTATATAACGGCAGTCTGTAAAAAATCAAGTCTGGACCAGACAATCTAGTGATTGACATCATGAGCATCAATTCACACAACTGGGAGCCTGACCACCTGATTCCGTTAACTCGCCAATTATGATAAGTATAGTCACCTTTTACGGCAAGCATGGGTTGCTTTGTGGTTTCTGGGGAGAGTGTATTTTGTGAGAATTTAAGAGCATGTTCCAAACTACAAAAGTTAAAAGAGGGTTAAAATTTAGATATCATGAAAAACAGAACAAAAGTGTTCAGCCCAACTACTTACTACACATATGCCCAATTTCATTATATTTTTAAAGTGGCAGCCACATTGAAATTCAGATTTAAACCTGTTGACTGTTTGTTTCTTGTCAATGCCACACTCAGCTATATTCAGCTTTACCCGGTAATATACAGCACATGATACATACTCGAGATCCACTGAACTGTTGATCTTCTTGAGGACAGTGTTGATCCTTGGCTCCACATAGAACCATGCTCCCATGTTCTTGTGTTCCTCTTGGGCCCAGCACAACCTGGCACGGGGGTACTTGAGTATCTCCGCCTTTACCAGGTCGAAAGGGAAAGGTGTCAACTGAAATCACACGATAACATAACTTAGGCCAGACATTTGTATTTAATTGTTTTTTGTTCTTCTTAGTGAACTCAAGGTCCTGACCACAAAAGCACCCTGGGGTTTGTTCTTAAGAGTCAATGACAATGAAAGCTGATTAATCCACTGCTACCTGACTGGTACCTTCAGCCACCTCAGTAGGATGGTGTAAGTATGTATCATCACTACACTTGGCTTTTCCAATTGTATCAAATAAATTAGGGGAAATTAGGTTTAAAACATAAAACTCCAAACACATAAAAGTGTACAATCGACCATTTGGCAAGTGCTGTAATACAAAAGGGTCATGAATGACTTACGCGCTGGAAATGTAACTAAACTGATTGGATTTGCTGGCATGGAAACAAGACAAAATTCAGAAATGCACACATTCCATAATAGCAAAAGACACCATTTCATGGCAAGACTGATATCTGTGCACATTTTGATCAAGAAATATAGAAAATTCTTGAGTTAAGCTATGGAAACTAATCACAATCCAAAATCAGGTGAGAGCTTACCTCACACACATGACCAATGCAATACAACTTGGAAACATGAAAGACCTACATCACCAGCTACCTTAATAACAATAAAGTGTGGTGAGAAACATCAACACACAACGCCATTTAGAAAGTGGTGAAATGTAACAAATGTTATATTTGGGATAACACTTTCTTAGTAAAGTACAGATTCTAGTACTTTTTTTTAAGTTGAGTTCCATCTAGGACTCGAACCCACACTCGCAGACTGTGTGGAAGCCTCGGTGGCCGAGTGGGTTTGATTGCTGACTATTGTGCTGGCAATTAGATGCCTCACTCTGGCAGTGTGAGTTTGAATCTTGGATAGGACTGAACTAGTACTAGACTTGACAGTGATGAGTGTGTACTAGACTTGACAGTGATGAGCATGTACTAGACTTGAAAGTGATGAGTGTATACTAGACTTGACAATAATGAGTGTATACTAGACTTGACAGTGATGAGTGTGTTCTAGACTTGACAGTGATGAGTGTATACTAGACATGACAGTGATGAGTGTATACTAGACTTGACAGTGATGAGTGTGTACTAATCTTGACAGTGATGAGTGTGTACTAGACTTGAAAGTGATGAGTGTATACTAGACTTGACAGTGATGAGCGTGTACTAGACTAGACAGTGATGAGTGTATACTAGACTTGACAATGATGAGCGTATACTAGACTTGACAGTGATGAGTGTATACTAGACTTGACAGTGATGAGTGTGTACTAATCTTGACAGTGATGAGTGTGTTCTAGACTTGACAGTGATGAGTGTATACTAGACTTGACAGTAATGAGTGTGTACTAGACTTGACAGTGATGAGTGTGTACTAGACTTGACAGTGATAAGCATGTACTAGACTTGACAGTGATGAGCATGAACTAGACTTGACAGTGATGAGTGTGTACTAGACTTGACAGTGATGAGCATGTACTAGACTTGACAGTGATGAGTGTATACTAGACTTGACAGTGATGAGTGTGTACTAGGCTTGACAGTGATGAGTGTATACTAGACTTGACAGTGATGAGCGTGTACAAGGCTTGACAGTGATGAGTGTATACTAGACTTGACAGTGATGAGTGTGTACTAGACTTGACAGTGATGAGTGTGTACTAGACTTGACAGTGATGAGAATGTACTAGACTTGACAGTGATGAGCATGTACTAGACTTGACAGTGATGAGCATGTACTAGACTTGACAGTGATGAGCATGTACTAGACTTGACAGTGATGAATGTATACTAGATTTGACAGTGATGAGCATGTACTAGACTTGAAAGTGATGAGTGTATACTAGATTTGACAGTGATGAGTGTGTACTAGACTTGACAGTGATGAGTGTATACTAGACTGGACAGTGATGAGTGTGTACTAGACTTGACAGTGATGAGTGTGTACTAGGCTTGACAGCGATGAGTGTGTACTAGACTTGACAGTGATGAGCATGTACTAGACTTGACAGTGATGAGTGTATACTAGACTTGACAGTGATGAGTGTATACTAGACTTGACAGTGATGAGTGTGTACTAGGCTTGACAGCAATGAGTGTATACTATACTTGACAGTGATGAGTGTATACTAGACTTGACAGTGATGAGTGTGTACTAGACTTGACAGTGATGAGTGTGTACTAGGCTTGACAGTGATGAGTGTGTACTAGACTTGACAGTGATGAGTGTATACTAGACTGGACAGTGATGAGTGTGTACTAGACTTGACAGTGATGAGTGTGTACTAGGCTTGACAGCGATGAGTGTGTACTAGACTTGACAGTGATGAGCATGTACTAGACTTGACAGTGATGAGTGTGTACTAGGCTTGACAGCGTTGAGTGTATACTATACTTGACAGTGATGAGCATGTACTAGACTTGACAGTGATGAGTGTATACTAGACTTGACAGTGATGAGTGTGTACTAGGCTTGACAGCGATGACTGTATACTATACTTGACAGTGATGAGTGTATACTAGACTTGACAGTGATGAGTGTGTACTAGACTTGACAGTGATGAGTGTATACTAGACTTGACAGTGATGAGTGTGTACTAGGCTTGACAGTGATGAGTGTGTACTAGACTTGACAGTGATGAGTGTATACTAGACTGGACAGTGATGAGTGTGTACTAGACTTGACAGTGATGAGTGTATACTAGACTTGACAGCGATGAGTGTGTACTAGACTTGACAGTGAAGAGCATGTACTAGACTAGACAGTGATGAGTGTGTACTAGACTTGACAGTGATGAGTGTGTACTAGACTTGACAGTGATGAGTGTGTACTAGACTTGACAGTGATGAGTGTGTACTAGGCTTGACAGTGGTGAGTGTGTACTAGGCTTGACAGCGATGAGTGTATACTATACTTGACAGTGATGAGTGTGTACAACAGTTGACAGAGTGTACTAAGTGCAGGGGGAGTCAATGACCTGCTCCACTCTTCCTATGGCAATCTGTTCGACCAGATTCTTCTTCTCTCTCTCCTTCACAAGTTCATAGTACACCTTGCCAGTACAGAGGATCAGCTTCTTGACTGTGTCAGCATTACTGGCTGCTACCCCCTTCTCAGGGTAGAATCGCTGGAAGTGAGTTCCCTCAAACATCTCGTCAAAGCTTGAGCGTGCCTCGGGCAAGCGCAACAATGACTTTGGTGTCATCACCACCAGCTGTAAAAGTGTAGAACATATTAAACATTGAACTTACCTTGAAATTTCTGAAAGCAACAATACTATAAATAAGCCATAACTTTAACCCTCTTGGTGCCATGGGACCATATATGGTCCCTCACTCTTCCCACCCTCTCAGTGGCACAGGACCATATATGGTCCCTCACTCTTCCCACCCTCTCAGTGGCACAGGACCATATATGGTCCCTCACTCTTCCGACCCTCTCAGTGGCACAGGACCATATATGGTCCCTCACTCTTCCCACCCTCTCAGTGGCACAGGACCATATATGGTCCCTCACTCTTCCCACCCTCTCAGTGCCATGGGACCATATATGGTCCCTCACTCTTCCCACCCTCTCAGTGGCACAGGACCATATATGGTCCCTCACTCTTCCCACCCTCTCAGTGGCACAGGACCATATATGGTCCCTCACTCTTCCCACCCTCTCAGTGCCATGGGACCATATATGGTCCCTCACTCTTCCCACCCTCTCAGTGGCACAGGACCATATATGGTCCCTCACTCTTCCCACCCTCTCAGTGCCATGGGACCATATATGGTCCCTCACTCTTCCCACCCTCTCAGTGCCATGGGACCATATATGGTCCCTCACTCTTCCCACCCTCTCAGTGCCATGGGACCATATATGGTCCCTCACTCTTCCCACCCTCTCAGTGGCACAGGACCATATATGGTCCCTCACTCTTCCCACCCTCTCAGTGCCATGGGACCATATATGGTCCCTCACTCTTCCCACCCTCTCAGTGGCACAGGACCATATATGGTCCCTCACTCTTCCCACCCTCTCAGTGCCATGGGACCATATATGGTCCCTCACTCTTCCCACCCTCTCAGTGCCATGGGACCATATATGGTCCCTCACTCTTCCCACCCTCTCAGTGGCACAGGACCACATAAGGTCCTGTGAAAATGTCCATTTTCAACTGTGAATAAAGATGTCAAACATGAGTGCACAAAATAAAAATTGTAACCATCATCCTAGCTTTAACATCACGTAACCCATATTTTATACAGTATTACAGAATACAAAATTCGGTGAGATTAGTAAGGCTTAAAAAAATAAAAGAATTGGTTCTCAGGCAATGTTTTTTGAAAATATAGTGCAGGCGGTGTTCTTTTTTTCATTTTTTGGGTGGGTGGGTGGGTGGGTGGGTTGTTTGTTTGTTTGTTCAAACTAGTATGTAACCAATAAAAAGTTGTGTAGTCAATCAGCAGTTGTGTAATCAATAAACAGTTGTGTAACCAATAAACAATTGTGTAACCAATAAGCAGTTGTGTAACCAATAAACAGTTGTGTAATCAATAAGCAGTTGTGTAATCAATAAACAGTTATGTAACCAATAAACAGTTGTGTAATCAATAAACAGTTGTGTAACCAATAAACAGTTGTGTAACCAATAAACAGTTGTGTAATCAATAAGCAGTTGTGTAACCAATAAACAGTTGTGTAACCAATAAACAGTTGTGTAACCAATAAACAGTTGTGTAATCAATAAGCAGTTGTGTAACCAATAAACAGTTGTGTAATCAATAAGTGAGTGAGGGAGTGAGTTTGGTTTAACGCCGCTTTTAACAGTATTCCAGTCATATCACGGCGTGTCAGCTTAATGTGGAAGGAAAGCCCGAAGTGATGCAGGTCTCAGACGTTTATCACTTCGGTGAAACCCACGAGCACGGGTATGGTGCTGACAAACCTAGAAACATAATCGGGGCGAACGGGGATTCGAACCCACAATCATAGGTTTCTGGCGTGACCAAGGGACGCAACTCAGCACAGCGAATCGCGGCGCCTTAGACGACTGGGCCCCCCGTGCCCCCCGTAATCAATAAGCAGTTGTGTAATCAATAAGCAGGTGTGTAATCAATAAGCAGGTCTGTACAATCAACCTGGGAGAGGGCCTCCCAACATAAATGTATTCCTTGGTGAGACAAGAGTCATCAGAAGATGACAAATCTCCCCGGCCCTACAAATTATCTGCCTGTTAAGTCCACTTGATGAAGAATTTCTATCTGATCTGTCTGTCAGTATACTAGAGTAGTTATTGAGCTATCAAAACAATACCGTGGAATTGGGATTCGGAACTTTGTATTTCTATGTCAGGTTCACACCAACATGAACAGTCAAAGTCAAACTTGTTGCCAGGGATACGGAAAAAATGTAAATTCTAACAATCCCTTAATAGCAAAAGGCACCAGATGACAAACTGGTCACATGTGTGCATACCGGTAGTTTTAAAGAAGAATACCTATAAGTTTTAAAGATGTAGTCAAAGTCAAACTTCTTGCCATGGAAACAGAAAAAAAATTATCCAAATTCCTAAATAGCAAAAGGCACGACTTCAACCCCTGAATAATACATGTTCCAAGTTTGATTCAACACTGTTGAAAAGTGTTTTAGTGCTGCTCCAGAAACGTCACCTACCTCCATTTCAGCAAAGTCTAACTTGTGTCAACGGATACATGTTAAAATGAAATTTTGAAACATTCTTAAATAGCAAAAATAATTTTTTTTAAATTACAAAATAGCAAAATGCTCCACTTCAACATGTGACTGATACATCTTTCAAGTTTTGATCAAATATACTGAATGGTTTTCGAATTCTGCCCCGGAAATGAACCCCATCCCCAATGGAGTCTATGTCCAACTTCTTTCCATAAAAATTTAAAAAAATAATAATTCGAAAAATCCCGAAATATCAAAAGGCACCACTACCATATGTGACTGATAGATTTGCCAAGTTTCGATCAAATACACGGAATGGTTTTCGAGTTCTGACCCTGAAAAGGAAATGATTAGACAGACAGACACAGACTGGCTGATCGCTATATCGCCCCGCATTATATGCCGGGGGGATGAAAAATACTGGAATAAAGTATTTGACTCCCGTTGGACTTGGAATATTTATGGATTTAAACATTTTTTTTTTAAAAATGGAAATAAAAACGAAACATGCAGCGAACTTTAAGATGATGCAGGCGGTGTCTGAGAACCAAGACTTTTTTAGCCTAAAGTGATTACCGTGATTCTCGACGTTGTAGTGCCATGATTGAACTTCAAGCGAATGACGATAATTTTTATTATGCACCCATGTCACATACACGTAACTAATATAATATCAGACAATCAATTTTAAAAAGAAATTTATCAGACTGGTCAGAGGATTTACCTTTCGCCACCATACAGTTATTTAAGTAAGGCCAGCGATGTTTAGTCCGCAACAGAAGTCTTTTTGTTCAAGTATTGTATATTATTATCGACTGTGTGTCATGGTGATTTAGCACAGCGCTAGAGACAAAATGACAGTACAGAATGTCGAACTGTTTATGATGCTGATTTATAGTAAATATTCAAATTTAAGATATGGAAGGTCAGCTGTAATTGTTGATATTATGGTGGTATAGTGTATATTTATAGGCAGGAAGTTCATGATGAACACGTAATCACTGACTGGCCAATTTATGTCCGAAATAATGCACTGGGCATGTTTTTTTGTCTACCAGTTGTTCTTCATGCTCACCCATTTCAACAAATAACTGCTGTTTTTTTCATATGAAATGACTAAGAGTCATGAGTGACTGATCAAACTACCTGACCGTGTAAATGAATTGCCCTAACCGTTTCACACTTGGTCGCAAAAGGTGATTTCAAAAGAGTGGCCACGACATCTAACGTGAGTAGTAGTATAGACAATGACAGTTCTGGCTCACTTCCACTGGAGCAAGATTTATATACCTATACTGCTACTACAGAGGGAATTTTTTATGCAAAAATGATGATGCGCACAAACGATCGTCATGCTAAGCAGTTGCTATATTTTGCTACGCAGTTGCTAAAACTTGCTTAGCAAAATATAGCAACTGCGTAGCAAAATATAGCAACTGCGTAGCAAAATATAGCAATTCAAGCGACATTCAAGCTGAGACGAGGATGTATGTTTTCTTGTGGCCAGAGTGAAACAAATTTTTCAGATTTTTTAGCACATAAACAGTATAACGACGTGCATGTGTGTGTGTGTGTGTGTGTGTGTGCGTGCGTGCATGCGCTTGTACTAGTTCGGACTGATGCCGATTTATAGTGCCAGCACACTGAGATACCATGCCGCAGTTTAACATGAATACCTCACTCAGACACAGTATACTGACTCCGAGCTGACCAGTCCTTGTTTTAGCCCCTTAATGCCGAGAGCCAGACAGGGTAACAACAAGTACCATCTTTTGGTATGATGCGGCCGGGGATCAAACCCTGGACCTTCCGCTATCTGGGCGGACGCTCTACCACTACAACACGGAGGCGCTCGATTGCACAAACAAAGCAATGTTTGTATGACATATGGCACCCAAGTTACGAGAGATCGAAAGTAGGTTTGTTGAATAGATTTGCTGCTTCTGAAAACGATTCAGTGATTTTCAATGAATCTATGTGTACTTACTTTTTGGTGGTAGTATGTTAATTTAATCTTGTATAATTATTAAGAAATAATGTCAATTTGAGTATTGTTAGGGCTGTTCAGAGATCTTTTTCATTTTTTTCTTTTGAAAATGTCCGATGTCAAATACCCCGAAGTTGTATTTTTACCTTTAGCCTGCTGAATTGCCTTAGCATAAGGCGATGTAAGGAGGGTGGACGATTTCAAACAGGTCGGCGCTTCATTAAACAAGGGCCAATTGAAGAAACATTTTGCACATTTATTCCTGATAGATAACTACATACTACTATCATCATGTCAGTTGCAGAAATACATTAACATTCGTGTTAATCCAACGTGTCATGTTATAAAATTTGCAGGAAACAATTAGTGACTCATAAAGTCCCCCTCATAAATTTTAACCAGTCTTAATTTCAAGTGTTTGGGTTGAATATTTACGATATATGAAAATACAAATACCATGTCATGATGCTAGCAGACGTTTGAAAATCAAATATGGCACGCTTCACCTGACCTCGGCATAACTTATTGCTATTTTATATCAACAAAGTTAACATTGCCTCCATATATATATATATGCCTTGGTATATCTTCTCAATCTTGATGAAATGTTTTATCATAATGTTTGTTTGTTTGTAGTTTAACGCTGCACTCAGCAATATTCCAGCTATATGATAGCGGTCTGTAAATAATCCAGTCTGGACCAGACAATCCAGTGATTGACATCATGAGCATCAATCCACGCAATTGGGATCGATGACATGCATCAACCAAGTCAGCGAGCCTGACCACCCGATCCCGTTAGTATCATAATGTTCAGCTCTTTGTTTGCAATAAACATGAAAAAATAAATATAATCATACATATTTAGTTTAGTTTACTTGGGTACATAGGCTCTACATTCATCCAGTTGTTGTGTACCTAGTTTCATCCGTTCTGAAGGTTGGGGGAGAAGTAGTAAACGTTTTAAAAACAATCTTTAATATTCTAAATTGTCCTTATTGCTTATTGCAATGACAGGCCAATAACAACATTATGTTGTTATTATTATGGCATATCAATTTGTTATATCGCTCTCCGTTGCAGTTGTTTTCAGAAAATAATTTTCAAATCAGAGCATGGAATCCTTTACGGTTTCGGATTTAGACTTACAAATTTGATGTTACGCACAGGCAGCAATCACGAATGAATATGAAATAAATAGGAGTGAAGACTGCTATCCAGGTCAATAAATAGTAAACAGTTGACGAAAAATAGTAAATTATGTATTTTCTTTTGAATTTGAATCTATTTCAGAATCTTTTTGATGATAACTTACCAACTTTTGCATATTTTGCTTCGAAGTGTGTCATGCAGTACGTGATTCCGGGTTTCAGAAAATATCGGACTGCATGCCCTCTACGTTAAGTGCCAAAATCAACTATGGCCGTTCTGTGCCGATTAATTTGACCAATACTTTCTTAACTCAAGATGTTATCTTTTTGAGGTAAATAAACTACTGAAAGTTTTGATAGTTTGTAAGCTGAGCATTTATGCATACCATATGTAACTTTAAATATATGCAAAGCCTACTAATTAAACAGTTATAGCGAGTTTCATTTGGCGATGTTCTTCGACTATGCGCCTGTCAACTGGGTTCGACAGTTGCATTGAGAGCTTTATTGAAAGAGAATAGACACTGAAACCTATATGGACGTAACTAGGCTTTTATCAAGCTATAAATTCAAACGGTCATTCGTACTGTAACATAATCTTTGAAACAGTCCTGCATATGAACATATCATGAACTTCTGTCAAATTTGTTTACATGTCAAAAACACAGACAATTTCATCAGGATTTTCTTTCGGTAAGTATAAATCAAGGTCAATTCTCAAAGTGTACTTCGACATAAATGTCACAGGTCTATCATTGATAGGATATGTACATTCCAATGATATGAATTAATGGACATTTGGATTTGAAACAAGGGCGCTTACTTGAGTATGTTTGCCACATTCGGGTGCTTTTATACTACATGTACGATAAATATAGAAAAGTAGGAAACTTACAAAACCAGCACTTTTATTAATGGCTAGGCAGTGCATAGATCTTTTCGATTTGTTGACTTTAGATGCTGTTGGAAAGACAATCATCTCACAATGCCAGCTGACTGCCAGCACCATGAGGATTATAGTCTGGAAGGTAATTTAAGGTACTGACGTTTACTACAATATCTGAAAAACTATCGGACCTACTCCAGTCAAAGTTGGTATGAGATTATTAAACAGTCATACATAACTGGATATTACATTTAAAGACAATCGGTGCATGAAGAAAAAAACTGTCTATTTAGCTATCACTATATTTCATCAACAACCAGACCTGTTCGTCACGGGTGGAACGAGCATTCATTGAAACAGCCATCTGCATAATGGTACCCCTGCGTCACAGGGCCATATGACACAGTTGAACCAATCAACTCAACTCGAAAGGTTGCACAGGAATCAAGCACGTTGAGACGCCCAACGCTAACACTGTAGATTCCCGACACAAGACAGTATCCTTTGGTCCATGTTCGTCTCAACAAATGCATAATCATTGTGTCAGGCGTCAAAATTGGCAACGGGCTGCATCCAGGCGCCTTGCGACCTCTGAGTCTAACTGATGAACCTCTGAACGCATTGGGGCTTTGTACCATGGTCGTATGTAAAAATACATTTTGGTGACCCATTACATCCATATTTATGTCACTTTTTTTGCCATTAACATTAAACTTGGAAGTTTCTTTTGCAGTTCAGCATATGTTCAGAGAATTGTGTTCATGATATTAGAGCCTGGTATTGAGCTAGGCCAGTCAGAACCCTGGCCCACTAATGGGTGCTCATCTATCACTGTCTGGTTATCCTGAATAGTTTTCTCTGAAAATGTCACTAATGACACGTTGGTGACGAAGGACCCTTTGAGACGTAAGTGACACAAGTGGAGCCAGATCGGCCAGAAACCACAGTGCCCTTTGGTGGTCGTTCTGTCATGGTTTGGGGTTGTGTGTCCTTGACTGTAAAGTGCATTTGATAACAGTTCGAGGAAACCTAAATGGCCAATATTACCTCAACCGGGTCCTTGAAAACAGTATAATCCAACATTTACACAATCATCCCTTTTTTACGGCCAGTATTTATGAAAAACAACACAAGGGCTCAAAGAAGTCACGCAGTGTTTGACCATTTGCGCCGGAATGCGATCGACACTTAAACATGGTCAGCAAGAAGTTTGGACCAATTGAGCACTTGTGGGATCCATTAGTGTCATCATGAGTCAGGAAGCCAGCCACCTTTTACAAAATGTACACAACTTGAAAGTGCCCTTCATGAAGAATAGAACAACATCCCCCTGTTGAGAATTCAGCCTTTAGTGACCTCCATAGGTAGACGTGTTGCAAAAGTCATCAGAAATCTTATAATTCACAAATCAGTTCACCAGATATTGACCCCGACACAGGGAGTGTTTGTCAGAAGGCTTGGCAACATGATAGCAAAAAGGAAACGAAACATTATGCATGGGCCCATACTTAAATTGGGTTAAAAGTAATTGAAAAAGTAACATCTTGTTAAGAGTTCAATAAAATGGGAAATACAGGACCTCATAATGGAGGACCTCACAACTTTAATGCCACCATTTCCGAAGAGATACTGTCCAGCTGTTGGTTGCACACAGCGCTCATCTCCTCTTGTTGGATTTTGAGCGGTCTCCCAACAAAGAGAAAGAGTTGAAATGTGGACTTGGTCTGGGAGGGAGCATCAGACAGTTGTAATTTCTTAGGGGTCCTATAGTTTCTTTTGTTACCCTTTAGGAACTGGACTGGGTGATGACAACTTGGACAGTTGCTTTTTGACTCCTTACTCCTGGCTCCCTCTCAGATGAGAGAGATAAGCACTGGGCACACCTGGAATCCTCAGTACACCAAGACACTACATATTCAACACGCATTGAGCGGGTCTCCTGTTATCTTACAGCATACACAGGCAGCGCATGTTTACCAGGTGTCTAATCTAAGTTTTCTTCTCGCCAGATGTCACCGACATCTAAACTTCTCTGGCCAACTTCTTTATTGATTGTATAACATGTGACAACGTTTTGTATGCAGCAAGCAACATTGGAAATGAAATGTATTTATGGAATTCAGTTTCATGATGTTTCTGCTACCACACAGAGGAAAGAAGTGAGGTTTCCCTGCCTTGCGCATGCGCAAAAGGTCAGGATAGCAAGATACTACTACTTGCACAACTATTATGTATAGTTGACAGTGAAGAGGACTGCTGAAAATCTGAAGATTTTATCGTGTGACAGCCAAAATGCAGGATTTATGGATAACATCTAATAGAGCTAGGGTAATTGCAAAGTGCTGGTGAATTGGTTTGTAAATATAGAAGATTTTTTTGAATGCTCTTGATAGCCTATATTGGATAACATGAAGATTTAATGAAGTTGAGTTCTGTGATTTACAATAGTTAAGAGTCTGAAGAGTTACCATGGTAATCACCACAAGCTGCTTCAAATAGGAAGAAGAGACAAATTTATTAGGATTTTACTCAAGAACTACATTTATGTAGGGAGGCAGTTTCCCAAATTAATTGTACACTACTGTTTACTTGGCAACAAATTTGATTGGACAAACAAAACAAGAACGTGCCCACATGCCTGCACTATTTTTCTAAAAGACATGGCCTGAGAACTAATTTTGATTTTTTTACTACATATACCCCTTGTGATACTGCTACAGCTTATAACATATCCCTGGAATATTAACCAAGAAATTATTTCCCCAATAATAGTGTCAGTAACAAGAACTGAAGTTCTTACATAGACAAGTTATCTCAGTTACTACTTGTTCTGAATTATAGTAATAATTCTAACTCTCAAACAGGTTGTGTGGGTAAAATGGTGTAATATATCAAGATTTACCGGCTTCCTGAAGGGTAGGGCAATCTGTCTCCTCATGGCATGGAAGAAATTTGCAGGTGTGGTGAAGTTACACACAAACCAATTGGTCTCGTGGGACTGCTGGATCTCAAAGTTTGGGCCCTCTGGCTGTTCACAGTAAGAAAGTCCACAGTCAATGTCTGGTGAACTCATACATGCAAAGCATACTACTAGTTCATGTGTAATGCAGCAACGACAACAACGTAATTCTACACTGGGATTTCAAAGCAATAACATTTTAAGACAGTTCTATGAAACCAAAACCGTAAAATAGCGCCAGTGGAGCTGCAACTCACCTGCTTATGTAGTCAGATAAATGGCTAAGTAAAGGTCAAAAGAAGTTTCATCTTGCAGTGTGCTCAAAGTGTTAAGGTCAAATTAAGGTCCAAATTCAAAATATAAAAAAATGGAACATATGTGTTGAGACACACTACTTACTACACATGTACCAAATGTCATTTCATTTAAAAAATAGTATGGCCACCTTCAAATCCCTACTGAAGTCCCACCTATTTCAACAATTTATTGTCTGTGTTGGCCTCATTATCATTATGAATAGTTTTTCACAATATGGATGCCTTGGACTTTGGAGGCCATATTAAAAATGAATTTGTACCCCTGGAACAAATTAGGGCGTCATCATTGTGGGAAAAAGCATGTGAAGTTTGAGCTTAACTGGTCAAGTGGTTTCTGAGGAGATGTTTAAGATAGAAGACTGACAATGGAAAAAAAGGTCCTGACATTCATTCAGGTGAGCTACAATATGTTTTAAAAAACAACAACTGTTGTACAATACTGCATTATATATGCATGAAGTTACAGTTCTAAAATTTACATATGTCTTCGTAGACTTATTTCTATAATCATAAACAACTATTCGTAGGAAATACAGACCACTCATATATATATGAAGGTTGGCAAAAGGTAATGTTTCTTTGTTAGCAATACAATTGTTGTAACTACCAGGTGTAGGCTGTGGGTGGAGGTAAGTACACCACATGACATGACTGGGTTACAGGGGTCAAGTGTGGGAGGGTGGGTACTGACCAGGAAATAGACAGGTGTAGACTGTGGGTTGAGGTAAGTACACCACATGACATGACTGGGTTACAGGGGTCAAGTGTGGGAGGGTGGGTACTGACCAGGAAATAGTCAGATGTAGACTGTGGGTGGAGGTAAGTACACCACATGACATGACTGGGTTGCAGGGGTCAAGTGTGGGAGGGTGGGTACTGACCAGGAAATAGTCAGGTGTACACTGTGGGTGGAGGTAAGTACACCACATGACTGGGTTACAGGGGTCAAGTGTGGAAGGGTGGGTACTGACCAGGAAATAGTCAGGTGTAGGCTGTGGGTGGAGGTAAGTACACCACATGACATGACTGGGTTACAGGGGTCAAGTGTGGGAGGGTGGGTACCGACCAGGAAATAGTCAGATGTAGACTGTGGGTTGAGGTAAGTACACCACATGACATGACTGGGTTGCAGGGGTCAAGTGTGGGAGGGTGGTCACTGACCAGGAAGTAGTCAGATGTAGACTGTGGGTGGAGGTAAGTACACCACATGACTGGGTTACAGGGGTCAAGTGTGGGAGGGTGGGTACTGACCAGGAAATAGTCAGGTGTAGACTGTGGGTGGAGGTAAGTACACCACATGACTGGGTTACAGGGGTCAAGTGTGGGAGGGTGGGTACTGACCAGGAAATAGTCAGGTGTAGACTGTGGGTGGAGGTGAGTACACCACATGACTGGGTTCAGGGTCAAGGTGTAGACTGTGGGTGGAGGAAAGTGTGGGTGGATAGGTACTGACCGGGAAATAATCAGGGTCATCATTGCTCATCTGCAGGAAACGCTCCAGTCTGGCACTTGAGTGTTCTGGGCCCTGCAAACAACAGAAGTGACATGGAACCACATTGCACACAAACAGTATACTAGAAAGACGCTGAGATAGTATGTTCTGAACAGGAATCAGGAGCCACAATGCTCTGAAGCTCACCTGAAGAAATAATTGTGTGATAGTTCCACCTGATTATGTAAATAAAGATCAGTAGTTAGTTATAGCAAAACTGGTCAATACATTCTTGGAAAAAGGAGAAAAAATACCTTATTTTTGCAATATTGTCTCCAGCACTGACCATGAATGCTAATAATGAATTTTCTGTTATCCTTCACACAAAATTTCAGCTTTCCACACCTTGTGTTTCTAGCAAATAAGATCTCAAAACAATTTGGTAAAAAATTTCAAAAATACTTTTAAAAATAATCAACTGGTCATTTCTGCATGGATTGTGATTGATTGTGTGGAAAGAATGAGTGCCTGCAGAAATTTGGTTAAAAGATAGGAATAGCGTCAAAACACCAACATGACATGCACGTGCAACACCAATTGTTGGGCTAAAAAAAAATCATTTTCTTGCCATCACAATCTTACAGCAAGTGAACAGGGAAAAAATGCCACAACTGACGGAAGCCAACGCAACAACGCAATCGGCCGACTGCAAACAGGAGAATCATCTTCAGCTGTAAGTAATAGCCAGGTTTTTCCAAGTAGAACCAAGCACAATTACAAGACTTTGGAACCCTTATGAGACACACTGGATAACCTTCCCAGATTTTGTCTACCACGTATCACAACTAGAGCACAGGACAGATTCAAACGGCTACTTCACTTATGTGAAAGAACAACCAGGGCCACCTCTACAACTTCGGCAATACCAGGATTGCATAGCATATCAGCCCAGAGCGTTTATGCTATAAAGGTGTAAACGACCAGTTTGTGGTGTCATTTTGACAGACCTGCATTGTTGGCTGCAACTTCAATGGTGTCAAGGGCACAGAGTATGGCCACAACTGCGATGGAGACAATTTTTACTTGGAACTGTTTATGCACCAGTGAAGTGCAACTAAAGTCTTGTTTAAGCACCGGGGAGGCACAAAGCTTGCAGTGTTTGGAAGGTGAGGAGGGTTCGTAAAGAGGTAAATCTGAGTGACCTGGAGTACAGCGCCCCCTGGTGGAAAGGCACATTTTGGTTCTGTGTTATGGGAATGAAGAGACAAGGAATTTGCTATAATTGTGTCTTTGCATGTCTGTGCTAAAACTTGATAAACTTTGTAAAGAGGTAACAGTGTGGAATAAAAGCTACAATGCTGGTACTAAATCTACTGACCATTCCTTCATAGCCATGTGGTAGGAGAAGAACAATGCCACTCTGTCGCACCCACTTGGCCTGGCCACTGGAGATGAACTGGTCAATGATACACTGGGCGTTGTTGGAGAAATCTCCAAACTGAGCCTCCCAAATAACAAGGGCATTTGGGTTAGTCATGGAGTAGCCCAGCTCAAAGCCTGTAAAAAATAAGAAATGGGTTCAAAGCTTCAGATATTGATGAGACATTTCATTTTTAACTTTAGCATACTGAATTGTTTTGGCATAAGGTGCTGTAAAGAGGGTGGACAATTTCAAACAGTTGATGCTTCATGAAATAAGGGGCCGAGCAATTGAAGAAATATTTTGCTCATTTATTCCTGTCAGAAAATTACACATTACCATATAAAAATATCCTAATGTTTTCAATCATACTAAGGTTAAGACCAAAGCCAACACAAAATTTGTTCATATTCTTGAACTTACCTGAGCTTGTAAAATCTAGATATTTTTTAATATTTGTATACTTATTCTTGCATTACTCCTTAATGCCTGAAGAATGATAGTGTGAAGCCACAGGGCGATCGTGTTACGGCTGACTTCTACCTGCGATGTTGGAGACACAGTGATGAAGAGGCGATGATGTGTTGAATGAAGCATCGCAGCACCTTCACTGGACATAGCAGAAGTTCCTGTTCATCTTCAATCTTTAATCGAAAATAGGGAAGGGGTGGTGAAGGATCTATCCGTCTGTCCTGGGAGTTGATTCTTGGCTATAAAGTCAGAGCACGGCCCAAGCTGAACAGCTCCATGTGCTCTGTGCTCACATCTCACAAGGGTGATGTCTACAGCATGTAGTTTGCTCACTCGTGTCGCTGTTGCCAGAGACTAGAGGGAAACTGTCTTCGGGTGAGGTTGTAGTACGACGCCGAGTGGAGTGGTTCAAAGTAAGACCACGTTCAGATACCAGGCCAAGTCTTCTGGTCTTACAGACGACAGGAGCCTAACAGCACCTGGAGTTCCGGAATCTTTGTAATATTTCGATCTTCCGGAACTGCCAAGATGGAGTTAAGGGCCACTAGGTTGGTCGTGATGGTGCTGCCCTTCAGATAACACTTGTGGTGCAGGAACAGAAGAAATTCTGCCAAGCAGTGGGGTGACAGGATCCTGGTGTTTCCACTCGCAGAAACTCTCAAGGAAGTGCTACTTGTCATTATAAAGGCACCTGGTAGAAGTTCTGTGCACTTAGAGGTCTTTGTAGATGGACCAGGCGTAAAGATGTAACCTATCTGGATGGCTTCACCTGCTGTGAGGGTGGATCAGCAGGTTTGGCCAGTCTGGAAATTTGAGGGGTTTGGTGGAGGACATTTCTCTGTGGTCCACTAAGCAGCATCTCGCTGGCACAATCTAAGCTTCCAGGTCGATATGGTTTTTTTAAGGGCCCTGGGAAGGAGCACTGGCTTTGGAAAAGCATTGGCTTTGAGTCCTTCCCAGGGTGCGCTGAAGGTATCAACTGCCAATGCTTGTGAAACCGGCACCGGACGGAGAGATGAAGGTCCGGACCTAGTAGTTCTGGCTGGTAGCAAACAGGTCGATTTGGGGATCGCTGAGGTGTTGACAGACAAAAGCGAAGGTGTCCGGATGTTCACTCTGTGGGGGCCACCCTGTCTGGTCTGGAGAAGGCACCTGGAAGGATGTTGCTACAACCTGGGATGTGTTGGATCTGAAACTGGATGTCGAGCTGATAGATCAGATGGAAGAGGCGGACTGTCTGCCGTAATAGGGAGGGGGAGTGGGTCGTCCCCAGGTTGCGAGGGCACCATACTACTGTGATTTTGTATGTGGATATAGAGATCTGAGCTTGTTGAAGCATGCTTCCAGTGAGATAGAGCCAAATAGGTGTCTGTCATGATGGCTTGAAGAAAGCGCACTGGGAGACGTGAGCTAGGGCCTTGAGGGTGGTCTCGTCTCTGGCAAAGGCTGATACCCGGGAGTGAGTCTTGAAGACTTGGCATTTAAAGAGTGAGGCAGATGACCATGCTTGACGAAGGAGGTCCCTCGGTTCGAGCCTGTCTGGCGATGTAGGTCTTCATTGAGCGTGTTGGCAGAATCTGCAAGCTGGAAGGAGTGGACGGGAAAGTCTTCCTTCTTGTATTTAGGCACCTTGAAGGAGGGAGTGCTTGTAAAGTCCTCATCAAGCGCCGTGATCATGTCCTTGAGGGATGGAGGTAGAGTCGGACCAAATAGTGTCCTCCTTATCCAAAGGAGCCCCCTGATTCTGACTGGTATCCACATGATTGGCAGCTGAGTACACAGACATTGTTGCAGTCAGCATCGGTGCCCAGGTGGAGATGACGATGGAGGTGGGGGACAACAGGGCTGTCGACGACACCAGTGTGTGCAGGTGTTGAAACCGGGGTGACAGGCGACGTGGTCGGGGGGTAGCAGGCTCATAAACATCAGACATTTTGGGCTTGTGTTTACAGGCCGGCTGGGTCTTTCATTTATGGGATACTTGGAAAAAGCTGTGGGGGGAAAGCGGGTATCAGTCTTTACATTTTGTAGACTAGGAGCATGGAGACATATAACTTAGGCGTAGGGGATGGGGATCCCAGGCCGATTGTTTCATCGGCACTTGCTACAAGATGGCATGTTATCTGCAATGAAGCAGAGTGTAATCACAATGCGTCCCCGCCCCATTATGTATGCTATAATCTTTTTTCCCAGCCATGTAGTTTATGAAAAAAAAGTTTACGAGAACATGTAAAACAACTTCTTTGATAGGCATAAGTATTTAAGGATGAACAACTTCTTTAATACAATTAGGAGCGACGTTTCGAGTAGGTTCTAACACTGTTATCAAGGAAGTGATTTAAAGAGTGTGGTTGGCAAGTATATATACAAGAAGGAGGCAATGTTTATACAGTAGAGTAGATATTGTTATACTGGAGTAGAAAAGCCTGTTATGTACACACAAGGGGTAGGGATGACAATCATCGGTGGGTCAGTGCCATAAACAAAGGATGAAGCCAGTAATATAAACAACGGGATTATGGCTGATTGGGGTCTTTGATGAGTTGATGGTACGCCGGGGATATGTAATAGCCTTGGTCACGGTTGATTGAGGGCTGAAGTCTTTTGATGTTGATGGCTTATTGTAGTTTCCTGATCTTGAAGTCTAAAACAACACCACTTTAGTAAACAATATAATTGCAAGAATACTTCAATGATGAAGTACCAGGAAACACACAAGAACACAGAACGCAAGTCACGAGATTGTGTGGCCATGTAAAATATTCAAGATTGCTACTTTCACTGCCGAACTAATGGGCATGGCCTCAGCCCTTCATAATCAACAATCTAAAAAACAACAAAAAATCCTAATACTTACCGACTCGCTCAGTGGACTACAAGCCCTCCAAAATAAAAACACCCAAAACTGCCCTGAACTAATAAATCAAATACTAAAAAGCTCAAATGATTTAACTAAGGCAGGCAAACAAATAGTATTCATTTGGATCCCCGCCCACGTAGGAATATACGGCAATGGAAACGCCGATAAAGCAGCTAAACTATCCCTTAAAATCCCAGAAATAAGCTTAAACCTACCCATCTCCAAATCAGAAATTAAAAGTGTCAACAAACAAAAAATCACCAAAAAATGGCATAACCTATATCAAAACTCAAATAGCCAAATCAAAAAGGTTCCCAAAAAACCAACAGAGTAATCACTAAACTCCAAACAGGACATACCAACCTAAATAACCACCTCAAAATAATAAGAAAACACGCAACAGGAACCTGCTCACATTGCAAACAACAAGAAACCCCAGAACACGCACACATACACTGCACCCACTACCTAACACACCGAACTACACTACAAACCACCCTAAATTTAAATAAGGCTCTTACTCTAGAAGCAATCCTAAATCCACAAAATAAAATTGAAAAATTCAAAGCCTTAGTTGTATACTTAATCAAAACAGGACTAATAAATCGCATTTAAAACCCCAATAAACTACCAAAACCAAACCACATAATCAATCTAACAAACTTCCATACTCAGCTCCCTTAGTTCGCCCCCCAAACCCTCTTGGCATTTTTTCCAAATCTAAAAATTTCCAAAATTTTATATAAGCAACCACTAAAACACCCCTACTGGATTGCCAAACAACTTTCTCCCCTTTTCGGAAACACATGAAATGGCTTGGACCCGTGTGCGAAATACGCTGCAGTCGGAAAGCGCATGTAAAATCTCCAATATAAGTAAGTAAGTAAGTAAGCTACTTGAAACAACAGAACACCTGAGATTACTGTGGTGAAAATCACACCACCAGGTGTCAAATAATTATGCTATGGCGTAAATCATATGAAATATATGAAGATACAAACTGGAGGCACAATATGGTCAAAAGAGAAATCACCAAAGATATCAAGCACACAAGGGTTGAATTAGTTTATGAGAGAGTTCAAAAACACAGGTCTGTGAGTGACAGCAGTAATGTGCTGACCCGTGACATCATCACTTCCGTGGTCACATGGGAGCTGTGTGTAGCTAGTTGAAGCAACTTCTTCTTCAGCAAGACCTCACACAGCTCTTCTTTCTGTCAAGAACATGCTCTAGATGCATTAAGGAGTAATGCAGGATAAGTTAAATGAGAATAAATTTGATTTTTGTTTTGGCAATGGTATAATTAGAACCATTTCAGTTAATTTATTGTCCAAACACAATGCAGAAAAACAACTTAATTGTCAAGGTCATCATGTCAGGTTGCAGAAATATAAACATTCGGGTTAATCTAATGTGTCATGTTATGAAATTTGCAGGAAACAATTAATGACTCATAAATATTCACCAATCCTGATTTCAAGTGTTTTAGTTGAATATTTACGATATACAAAAATACAAATCCTGTGTCATGATGCTAGCAGATGTATGAAAATAAAACATGGTGCGCTTTGCCCGACCTCAGTATAACTTATTGCTATTTTAATATCAACAAAGTTCTCATTGCCTGCATATATCGGCCTTGGAGGGAGTTGACAATCTTCTCAATCGAAGAATATTCATTTGTCATTTTCCATTTAAAATGATTACAAAAAAACCCCACAAACATAAAGATTGTGAAATCTGATTGCAATATTTCACGAAGTGCAAAGGTCACCAGATGTTATGCCACGGACTGGGGTAGTCTGC